CTCCTGAATGCTGGGAGTAAAGGCATGTGCCACTACACCCAGCTATTTCTAGTTTTTTTAGAGTTCCCAATACTGATTTCCATGGTGGTTGTACCAGTTTACAATCCCACCAGCAGTGAATGAGGGATTCCCCTTTCCCTCACATCCTTACCAACATTTAGTGTTATTTGTTCTATTGATCTTAGTCATTCTGATTAGGTGAGATTAAATCTTAAAGGAATTTTAATTTGCATTTCCCTAAATACTAAGGATGTTGAACATTTTAAAGATATTTCTTAGCCATTTTTATTTCTTTTTTTTAAAGAACTCTCTGTTCAGATCCATAACCCACTTTTTTAATTGGGTCATTTGTTTTCTTGAGTCTTTGTATATTCTTAATATTAATCCTTTGTCAGATATATAGCTGGTAAGGGTTTTCTCCCACTCTGTGGGCTTCCTCTTCACTTTAGTGGATGTTTACTTTGCTGTACAGAAGATTTTTAGTTTAATGAAGTCCCATTTTCCAATTGTTGACCTTAATTCCTGAGTGACTAAAGTCAGATTTAAAAAGTCCTTTCCTGCACCTGTGTCTTATAGAGCACTACTTATGTTTTCTTCTAACAGTTTCAGCATTTCAGGTTTCACATTGAGGTCTGTTTGGAGTTGATTTTTGTGCTGAGTGATAGATACAGGGATCCAGTTTGCCAGCACCATTTGTTGAAGATGCTGTCTTTCCTCCAGTGTGTATTCTTGGAACCTTTGTCAAGTATCAGGTAGTCGGAATTGCATGCAGTCATATTTGGGTCTTCTATTTTGTTCCATTGTTCTATATGTCTGGTTTTATGCCAATGCCATGCTGATTTTATGACTATAACTCTGTTCTATAGTTTGAAATCTAGTATGGTAATTCCCCCAGCATTGCTCTTTGTGTTGAGGATTGCTTTGGCTATCTGGAGTCTTTTGTGAGTCCATATGAAATTTAGAATGTTTTTTTTTTCTATTTCTGTGGCTGCCTTGTTGAACTTCCCATGACTAAGCAAAGATAGGAAATATCATATGGAGACTCAAACACCAAAATAGGAGGGTTATTGGGGCTGAGGAGATGAGTCAGTGGGTAAAGTGCTTGCCACTCATGCATGAAGATCTGAGTTTGGATCCCTGGCTCTCATGTAAAAGCTGGGTATAGCAACAGGCACTAGTAACCCTAGTGCTGGGGAGCAGAGGCAGGAGGGTAATGAATATTCACTGGCTAACTAGTCAAGCTTAAATGGTGAGCTCCAGATTCAGTGAGAGTGGGGAGTGACAGAGGAAGATACCCTATGTCAGTCTCTGACGTCTGCATGTGTTCACACAGGTAAGCACATGTGCACACACAACACACACATACACACACCATAGGAGAGCTAGCAGACAGATCTCATCTTGCAGGCTGAGACCCACAAAGCACAGACAAAATAATACAAGAGGGAGGAGAGAACAAGTGCAAGAAATCCCTCACATCCCCCTTAACTCTAAAGAAGATCCTTATAGGGTCACGACGGAGAGTGCCTGGTATTCAGCCTCTACTTTAGACACAAAACAGAGTTCTGGAGTCTTGCAGATTCCCTCTGAAGAGTACAATTGTTATTCAGTGTCAATGGATGGATTTCATGAGGTAACATAGGAACTGTGTTGAGAAGTTGTTTTTTCAAGGGAAGCTAGGAATCCTCATTTTTGTATAAAGGCTTTTGATTTTTAAATATGCTACTGAATCACATTTTTAAAAAACAGCTAGGGGCTGGAGAGATGGCTCAGCACTTAAGAGTTCCGACTGCTCTTGCACAGGACCAGGGTTCAATTCCCAGCACCCACATGGCAGCTAACAACCATCTGTAACTCCAGTTTCAGGGGATCCAACACTCTCTTCTGAACTCCACGGGCAGTGTATGCAATAGATGTACTTACACACATGCAGACAATACACTCATAAAATTTTTAAAAATATATTTTAAAAACACCTATAGGCTACACATATCTGTACGGTAGATTTGGTTCAAAGTCATTTTGTGATCCCTGAAACTAATAATGTTTAAGGTAATTTTAAATCCTGAGGTTTTCAAACAGTTTACCTTACCCGTATCCAACATGTAAATTATAATGCTGATCAGGACTGCCATGATAAGCTCATGAGCTTTCACTCTTGAATAAGGGATTAGTTGGCGCTGATTTATTTCTCTTCCTTTCTGTTGCCACTGCATCAGAGGTTAAGCTGATTATTTCCTATGACTTCATGAACAAGAGTTGATTGATGACGCCTGCACACAGGACGTTGGGTAGTCTTATTATGACTGAGCACAGCCCACCCTCAGCTCCCAATGGGCACTCCGGGACTACAATGAATTAAAACCCTGTCCAGGATAGGTAGAGTGCAGAAGTGATATTTTGACAGTCAATGTTTTCAATTACCTTTCCAGGTATTCTCTCAGCAAAACTGAAGATGCTCATTTCCCATGAAGGCCTTAACCACAGGGGGAAAAAAAAAGACTGAGAACATCTATAAAATGACTTCTTCCCTTCTTGATTTAGGTTGATGGAAGCTGTTTTCTATTATCTGGTATGGGGTAAAAAGACTTTCCCGTCTGTCTTCTGAAGGTTTGGTTGTTGAGTCTGCTGAAGAAACTGGCAGCAGATAGATTAGCAGAAGAAAAGAAACTCAAATTTATTACTGACATAGACATGTCACAAGGATGAGAACTGATGGACAATAACCCACCTAGACCCCAAAGCTTAAATATTCTCCTCTCAGGGAGAGAGAGGTGGGGGTGGGGGCCTTCGAGGGACAGTGACCTCCAAACCTGATGATATCCTGGGACAGTTGGCCTGGGCTCTGCTGTCAATCCCAACCTTCCTTCAGTAGTCTCTATTGATATTTGGGGACAGGTGTCATGATGGAGTGTCTCCTGTAGAGCCTTTGAGATAGAAGGAAAACTTCCCGGAAGGTATCTGCTGCTCTAGGGTGACCTGAGTTTGCAGTCCAAAGTGACATATTTTTAAAATTCATTTTAACTGATATATAAAAGCATAAACATTATACATATTAATGATGTTTCAATATATGTATGTTGCAATGCTTAGATCAGATTAAGTGTATCTATCCTCCCTAAGCCTTTATCACTTACAGTGAAAGCACTTAAGCTCTTTTTCTTCTAGCATGTTCAAATGTGTGGTACATTATTATCTGCTATGCAACAGTACAGCTTGCTCTCTCTTAGCTGTAAGCACCCCATCAGCTTTTCTTCATCTCTCCCTCCCCTCTGCCTGCACCAGCCCCTGTAAGCACCTTCTTGCTCCCAACTTCCACATACGAGCAATAATTGCAGTGCTTGTCTTCTGTACTTGATCTCATTTAATGTGCAATTTCCAGTTCCATCCATCTTGTCATGAATGACAAGAGAATTTCATGCATTTTAGTAGCTGGATTGTGGTCCATGATATGTCATGATATTTGTATACATTTCCTTTATCTACTTAGTTTGATTTCATATCTTGGCCATTATGAATAGTGCTACAATTAACACTTTTTGGATACATACCCAGTAGTGGGATTTCTGGATCATATGGTAGATCTATTTTTGAGTTTTTGAGGGCCCACCGTACTGTTTTCCATAGTGGATATATTAATTTACATTTCTACCAACATCCTTTTCTCCACATCCTTCTAACACTTCTCTCTCTCCCTCTCTTTCTCTCAGTGTGTGTTTTGTGTGTGTGTGTGTGTGTGTGTGTGTGTGTGTGATGGCACACTTATAGAAGTCAGAGGACGTATGTTTCTTGCCTTCCACCATATGTAGCCCAGAAAAGAATTCAGGTCATCAGGCTTAGGGGCAAGTGCTTTCACTGGTTGAGCCATCTCAAGACGCTGTTTGCTTTTGTTGTTGTGTGTGTGTGTTTTTGAGACAGTATCTCCCCATGTAGTCCAGGCTGGTCTCAAACTTGCTACAACCCTTTTGCCACAGCCTTTTGTGCTGGGATTGTAGCTGTGTATCATTTCTCTGATTAGTGATGTTGAGCCTTTAAAAAAATAATAATGCCAGTCAGCCATCTGCATGTCTTTTTTGCTGTCGCTTTGCTTTTTTGAGTTTTCGAGGCAGGTTCTTACTTTGTGCCCAGGTGGGCCTCAATCTCTGAATCATCCTACATTGGCCTCTGGAGTAAGGAGATGACAGATATACACCACCAGGTCTGGTTTATGTATCTTCTTTTAAGAGAAACCTATTAGATTTTATTGCCTGCTTTTGAGTCAGTTAGTTTTTTGCTTTTGAGTTTTGGGGGTTCCTTATATATTCTGGATATTAACCTCTTTTCTGATGTGTGGTGTACATTTCTCCCACTATGTAGCTGTCTCTTCACTCTGCTACTTCCTTTGTTATACAGAGTTTTTTCATTGATATGATCTCATTCCCCTATTTGGACTTTGTGTCCTGTGTTCTTGGGGTCTTGGCCAAAAAACATTTTGTCCATTCCATTCCAATATTCCAGAGCCAAAGTGACATATTTTGGGACTGTCCTTTTCTGAGCCCCAACTCTGGCATTTAGGACTAAGATAAGGGGAAAAATTACACCCTGTCAGTGTCTGTTTCACCACCTTTACCCCAGCAATGGCACATCATCGGGCCAGGACAGTTACTAACCTCAGCTTCTTTCTGGTACTTCCAGAGTCAACATTCCATCCCGTCTGAGGCACAGTACCAGTGGACAGCACCTCAGTCTCAGAAGACTAAGTCAAAGGCCCACGGCCTCTCCTCAAGCTTCTAAGATGTGAGAGCCCAGTTTCCCTTTTGTTTTAACCCCAGGAGTGGTAGCTGCTTCCTGAAACCCTTTCCACCTATTGATCTCTGTTTTCCATCTCTTCAACACTTGCTTAGCCAATTCCCTGTCTTGCTTTTCTGTTGAAGTCTGAGCCATTCAAGCACAATTCCTATATTCCTGGTTGGCTCAGGCACACACAACTTTACTTTAAGACATGCTCATGATTATCATGCTTGCTTCAGCAGCACGTATTCTAAAATTGGAATGCCACAGAGAAGATCAGCATGGCCCCTGCTCAAATTCATGTTTTTTTTCTAAGACATACTCATTATTTTTGTTTCTATCAGAAAACTGCATTGCAGGTAATTATCAGTAATATTAGCAACAAACAATTTGAATTTTATAATTACCCCACTTTGTGTCAAGAAGTCGATGAAGGAAAGAAGTTAAAATTATGAGCAGCTGTGGGTTTGAAATTATGTGAATTTCAAGTATAGTCCTATTTTCTTTGTGTCCCTGTTTTTCAAGGGCTTCTTATAAATGGCATTTGAGGGGCTGGAGAGATGGCTCAGAAGTTAAGAATACTTGCTGTTCTTCCAGCGGACCTGGGTTCAATTCTCAGCACACGCATGGTGGCTAACATAACTCCATTTCCAGGGGATTTGATACTCTTCTGCTGTCCTCTGCAGGCACTGCACAACACAGGTACACTTACATACAAGCAGGCATAACACTCATACACCTAAAATAAAAATAAATAAGTAAAAACTAATAAATAGGGCCTGGAGAGATGGCTCAGCGGTTAAGAACACTGGCTGTTCTTACAGAGGACCCAGGTTTGAATCCCAGCACCCACATGGCAGCTGTCTGAAACTCCAGTTCCAGGAGATTTGACAGCCTCTTCTGTCCTCTGTGGGCACTGCATAACACGGGTGCACTTAGCTACATGTAGGCAATACACGCACACACATAAAATAAAAATAATAAATTTAAAAAAAAGATCTTGTCTCAAACAAGGTGGAAAGCAAGGACTGACACCCATGTCATGCAATGCCCACGGAGGTCAGAAGAGGCCATCAGATCCCTTGGGACTGGAGTTATGGACAGTTGTTAGCTGCCATGTGGGTGCTGGGATTCGAACCTGGGTCTTCTGCAAGAACAACCAGTGCTCTTAATCGCTGAGCCATCTCTCCAGTCCCTGGTTTTAATTTTTTGAACTTCACCCTGTTGATGACTTGAAGGCACAAATTCAGCCTATTCATAGTCTATGTAAAGGATTTACTTGATTTAATTCTTCCATTGTATTATGATTTTAAAAACAGTTGATGTTTCTGTCTTCTGTTTTGCTGGTTTAGTCATCCCAGTTCTCATCCTTACTTCTCTGAATTATCACAAGCTGACTAAATTTTGAAACAAATATTTTCTTTGATAGAACTTGTACTAGTCACCTTTCTCAGAGCTGTAATAAAATACCTGCCCAAGGCAGCTGAAGGGGGGAAAGGCTCATTCTGGCTCCCATTGTGAGGTCGAGGCAGAGAAGTTAAGCCCAGCAGGAGTGAGGCAGCTGGTAACATTGTGTCCTCAGCCAGGAAGCAGAGAGATGTGCTCTGCTCACTTTCACCTTTTTGTTCAGTCCAAGACCCCAGTCCATATCCACATTTAAGGTGGGTCTTCCCACCTCAACTAACCTAATGGAGATAATCTCTCACAGACACACCCAGGGGTTGGTTTCCAAGATGATTCTAAATTTTGTCGTTTGTAATCAATATTCTCCATCACAGAACTAGCTGTTTGTTTGCATATTTGTTTTTTAGACAAGGCCTCCCTGTAACCCCAGCTGACCTAGAACTCACTGTGTAGAACGGGCTGACTGGCTTTGATCTCACAGAAATCCCACCTGTCTCTGCCTCTCAGGTGCTGGGGTTAGAGTTGAGTACTACCATGACCAGATACAGAATTAGAGTTTTAGAATGCTGTTTTCCTGATGGTAGTGATCTCATCAGTACAATTCTGCCAAAAATTCCTCTGGGGACACTAGCCTGGCAGAATGGATTCAGACAGTTTCATCGCAAGTAATTTAGACTCCACAACAATGAGGCTGCTTTGGCTATCCTCTAAAGAACCACCCCCTACACTTTCTCTAAAACATTAAGAAAAGTAATTTAGAGAAAATCTGTAAGATCAAAAAACTCTGCCATTAAAAGAGCCTTTTAACTGAATTACTGTTGAATTTGTTGAACGCCTTTGTGTTCTGGTTGCTTTCTCTGTCAAGAACACATGTTTGGGGGCTGGAGAGATGGCTCAGCAGTTGAGAGCATTGTGCTGGATAGCTTTAGTGTCACCTTGACACACTTGGGTTGAAGGAGCCTCAATTGGAGAATTGTCTCCATTGGACTGGCCTGTGGCCATGTCTATGGGGCATATTCTTGATTGTTGAGTGATGTGGGAAGGCCCAGCCCACTGTGGGTGGTGCCACCCCTGGGCAGACGGGCCTGTGTTGCATAAGAAACTAGGCTGAGCAGGGGCCAGGGGAGCAAGCCAGTAAGCAGCGTTCCTCCATGGCCTGTGCTTCAGCTCTTGTATCCTGGTGCCTGCCCTGGGTTCCTTCCTACCTTGGGCTTCCTGATGAACTGTGACCAGGGAGATGTAAGACAAATAAACGCTTTCCTCCCCAAGTTGGTAGTGGTCAGAGTGTTTTGTCACAGCAATGGAGAAACAAAATAGAACAGGCATGTTCTGTTCTTCCATTAAAATGTCCATGGTGGTCTTTTTTGTATCCCTGCCTTGATCACCCTCTCCAGACTCATCTCCTCCCTTGATCACCTCTCCATACTCACTTCCTCCCTTGACCACTCTCTCTAGACTCACCTCCTCCCTTGACCACCCTCTCCACACTCACCTCCTTTGTGCCCCACTGCACCTTTTGCCTCCCTTAATTATGGCTCCTGTCACAGGTTTTACAAGGGTAATTTTCTGTTGGAGGTTATGAGCTACTTGAGGACAGAAACTGGTTTATCTTGGTATCTTCAGAACTTAACTTATCTTAATCAATGCTTATTGGGTAGATACTTGTTTTGTCAACAGTGGTCATTCATTGGCAACAATGTGTTTCCAGCAACATCGCTTTCATTTTGTTTTTTCTTAAATTAAGAGAAAAACATTGCAAGTTGGGTGGGAACACAGACCCCAATTCTGGTATTCAGCTTAGCGGTACAAGCAAAAATAAAGCTCAAAGTTGTGAGGTATAATCCACCAACGCTTGGAGCTCTCTGGAAATTTGAGTCAATAAGCACAGAGCCATTCTCTGTTCAAGTCATAAAAATACCATTGGTGGACTGGAGAGATGGCTCAGTGGCTAAGAGCACTGGCTGCTCTTGCAGAGCACCTGAGTTCAGTTCCCAGCACCCACATGTCAGCTAACAGCAGTTGTACGTCCAGTTCCAGGGGATCTGATGCCTCCTTCTGGCTCCACAGGCACCAGGTACACACATGTTGCACGTGCATACATTCAGGCAAAACATACAAACATAAAATACATACATAAAATAAATCTTTTAAAAAATAGCACTGAGTTTAAACTAAAATAATAATATGTATTTCTTTCGTAAGGTATTCATATTTTGAGTAGCTAGAGGCATCTGTTTATAGCTTCTGCAGGGACCCACACACATGGCATACACACATACACATAAGCAAAAATTTAAAGATTTGGGACTGGAGAGATGGCTCAGAGTTAAGAGCACTGGCTGTTCTTGCAGAGAACCCGGCTTCTCTTCCTAGAATCCACATAGTGGCTAACACTGTAACTCCAGTTCCAGGGAATCTGTTATACTCTTCTGACCTCCACAGGCATTGCACACATGGCACACTTACATACCTGTAGGCAAAACACTTGTATGCATAAAATAAAAATAAATTAAAAATGTATTAAAAATTCAGGTTTTTAAAAATGCAGAGAAACCATTGAGAAATAATTTTGGCCATTTCCTCAGCCCTCCCTGTCCTTATGCTTTGTTCGTATGAACCAAGACAGGCTTCCTCTACTTACCATGTACTTACAACCAAAACACAAATCAAGATTACAAGCGTCTTCCCCTCCCAAAGTACGCATCAGCACAGGCTGTAGAAATTCCATCTTCCTTACAACAGGACCTGACGAGGCAGCAGCTTAGAGCAGGTGGCCATTCCACCCCAGACTTAGACCGGTGAGGTGAAAGGCCTGCTCCAGGCTGTGAACTGATGCTCTCTGAAGAAGCTGAAGTGTGTATAAAGATCCTACAGACTGCTTCAACCTGGCGGAGGAGAAAACATTGTGATTGTGGAAAGATGGACTGTTGCAGGTCAAGAACCAAATTTATCTTGAACCCCCTCCCCTCTTTTAGATTTTATTCATTGTATTTATTTTATGTGTATGAGTGTTTTGCCTGTATGGAAGTGCACCATGCCAGAAGAGGGCATTGGATTCCCTGGAACTGGAGTTAAGGATGGTGTTAGCCACCGTGTGGGTGCTGGGAACTGAACCTAGATTCTCTGGAAGAGCAGTTAGTGCTCTTAACCATGAAGCCATCTCTCTAGCCCCTCTTTAGCCCCTTTTAAAAATGATTTACAATCAATCTCTATATCTAGTCTAACATCCTCTTGAATTATATATAAAATTCCTCCAATATATCACTGAGGTCTGACATACTTCTAACCTCCACCAAGTCCAGAGCTCAGAATGTGGTGAAGACAACATTTATTTGGCCATGGTGGCACATGCTTGTAATCCTAGTACTTGAGAAGTAGATTTTGGAGGATCAGGAGTCTAGACTATCCTAGGCTACATAGAAAAAGACTGTTTTTAAAAACTCAGGGAAAGAGTGGCAAGACTGGTAGAACACTTGCTGTACAAGCATGACGACCCAAGTTTGGTCCCCAGAACCCACAGTGGAAGGACTCCCAAGGAAGTCCTCTGACCTACACACACATACACACACACACACACACACAGATTAAAAATAAAGGAAATTCTAAAATTGAGGTAAACAAAAAAGACAACATGTAAATGTACAGATTCCCCAGCTTTTCTGTAGTTTATCTAGTGAACACCTATGTATTTTGTAAGCACATTGATTCTTCACTTCCTTTTCTATGACTAACAACATTCATATGACCTTTTCATGCAATTTAGGGTAACTTGAATCTGTGTTCCTGGCTCAGAATAAACTTTCTCATTCCTTATTTGGCTCAGTACAAACCACTTTCTTATTTCCTTAAAGTAGAGTTTGTATTTTACATTGACGTAGAGTATGCAGTTCCTGGTCTGTCAGAAGAAGGCAGTGCACAGTGACAGTTCT